GTCACATTCGTTTGAATATTGTGTCACATTCATTTAAACGTGACTTCAGGTGAGGTGATGCTCTAATGGCGCCCAGGCTTGGCCGATTCACGTTTAAACGAATATGACACAACATTCAAACGAACGTGACACGATTAATATTGAAACGAATGTGACGTCACATTCGTTGAAAAACAGTGCTGGCGCCATGATGAGAAACATTGTACCGGGAGTATGCGAAAATGTGACCCACATGGATACATTTCGCATCATACCATTCAAAGCCCACGCCTTGGTGGCGTGAAAACAGTATACACCTTTTCCAAAATAACGTTATCTGTCAATGGACGAAAAACGATTGCAACGAAGTTTATGCTTAAGCCGACTGTAAATAAGCTAACTCACGCCCTGCGCGGTTATATTCTGAAAAGTACTTAAGGGTTATAGGAAAATTTTCCACAATGTGTGTTGTAAAATTGCAATTTGGAAGAGGAAAATTACAAGCACTCTGTATCGACTTGGAAATCATTTGACGAGCAGGAATGGGCTGTGGTAAATTGACAACATACGTTTTTAATCATAAATACAAAAAATCTTGTAAATTTATGAGGATCTTTCTCACAGTGGTTGTATTATCTATCCAATTGAACTGCAGTACGTATAATCCGTGCGCGCGTTCGTATGTAAATGTCTATCGGAGATTTCAGCTCACGATGCGCGGACTCCGTAGACCTGCCATGGTTATTGGGGTTGTAGGAAGTGGCGGGGCGGGACAAGGGATGGGAGTCGGCCCGGGGGGGGGGGGGGGGGGGGGGGGGGGGGGGGGGGAGACTGCGACTAGGGACTAGTTCTTCTAAAACGGCATGAAAACATTATCTTTCGTACGGAGAGCCTTACGTCTAAAAGCCTTGCGACAGTCTAATTCGGCCCGGCAACCGCCTCGCTGGAGTTGCCGACGCGGGTTCCGCCGCCCTGCGCACAGCGCGGTATTTAACTAACCATAAAGAAATGTTTGTATCTTTAATCGGGCCGGCGCAGCCAGCCAGCAGAGGGGAGCGCTTTCAAACCGGAAGACAGCGCTTTAAGTTTAGAGAAACGCGCGCCAATTTAATTATTAATCCGAAAATTGACAAGGATTATTGGTTATTATAGTTGGGCAACTTCACTGTTTCTCACATGTATTAATGATATAAGAACAACAAACCTCAAAATTTTGAAGAAAAAAAAAATTCTACAATAAAAATAGAGCTACGAGAGTGTAGGTCTCGCGGATGGGCGCCCAGCAACCCGTCGCGTCCCCCGAGCCATCCCGTCCCTCGTAAGTTACACTTTCACGATTCTCGCAGCGCTCCGAGCTCTCCCGTTCGGCACACGAGCGGAATGCATTTTGAACCGAAATGTGTGAGTCGCGCCAAATTCGAAACCCCACACACACTATTCCGAGGGTTTTCATTTAAAAACAAGTACGGCCTTCTGGTAGTACAGTTGAGCGGGTGGTGCCTGCGTGCGCGAAAGCCGTCCAAGTTTCTCATACTCGGCACGGCGGCCCCCTTTCGCGAATTACCGATAATTAACGATAGGCATGGCATGGCGGGCTGATTTGAATGCGAGAACGCACTGCTCGGCCATCAGCACCAGCAGCAGCAGCCGCCGGCGCGGTGCTAGAGCGGTGCCCGACCTGGTGGAACGGCACGGGACCCCGGCGAGGCATCTCGAGCTTCAGCAGCAAAATAACCATCAGTGGATTTGAACGGGACCCCTCCTTCTACAGGACCAGCACCCGGTCGCCGCACGAAGAGCGACACCCTTGGGCGACACCACCGGCAAGTCGCGCCTCACTCCCATAACCCGGGTAGTTGGTAGTCGGAAGGTTTTAGGTACAGTACAGGTTTGCTTCACTTGACTTTCTTGATTGAATTGCGCTTGTGTCGTGCCCAATACAAACTCAATACATTCACGAGAATTCAAGTACACACCTAAAAAAAAGGGTTCTCAATTCAAGATGATCCCCAAAATTTTAATGCAAATGTTCTTATTTTAACCCCTATTTACACTTAAATTAAGTAAATAGGGATTGAATCCCTATTTGCCTTAAAATTTTAGGTATCATCTTGAATTGAGAACACATTTTTTGTGGTGCATGATAAATGTACGTATATAAGGAAAAGAAACCCGCGTTTTTGTGTGATACATAGTTAATCTCCTGGAGCCTGATTAACGCCGTGACTGTGTCGAAAAAAAAACTATATTGAGAACGCCTGACTACACTTTTGTCTTCCCAGAAAGGCGTGACGCCTCAGACTCGCATTGCAAACCATTTTCTTTGCGACTGGCGAAGAACTTGGAAAGCATTGTAAAACGAAGATGTTCTTCGCAAGCTCGCAAAACTAGTATTTTTTGGCAAAACGAAAAAATAGGTTCCAATGATTCTTGAAAGCTTGGAGGAAATTTCTTCGCAAAACAAACTAATTCTTTGCAATACTGCACTGGAAATGCAAGTGTGTGAATGTCGCTCACCTGCAGGTGAGGGACATTTACACACTTGCATTTCCAGTGTGTTACCAAAATTATTAAGGCATTAATTTTGAAATACCTCGCAAAAGTTGCAAAGAAATTACTTTGCAAGCATTTTGCAGTGAAACCTCACGGGATAAACAAAACGGCACCCCCCAGGGCGACAAGCTTAGACTCTCTGCTGCACTTAAAGGACACATAAAACCACTGTGCTTCACACACACACACTCTGCTCACTTCAGTAATCCGCGGGACAGTTTATCCAACCGCATGGCACAAAGAAACACGCCGCACAACACACCGAGCACACAAGAGCACAACCACGAAGCACAACCGCGGAGCGCAACCACGGAGCACAACCACGGACACACGCAGAGCACTGAGCACCGCGCCGGGGCGCAGGACAAACACCTCGAGAGGGAGACCGCGGGTAAACTGCCCGACACGGAGCACAACCACGGGGCACAACCACGGGCACACGCAGCGCACTGAGCACCGCGCCGGCACGCAGGACAAACACCTCGAGAGGGAGACCGCGGGTAAACTGGCCGGCACGGAGCACAACCACAATGCAAACGGAGTGAGAGAGGAGGAAGGAGGGGGGCGGAGTACGCGTGGGCGTGCGGGCGTGCGGGCGTCTCGCGGCGGACTGAGGAGGAGCGCATGGCTATGGCCGTCTCTCTCACTCGCGCGCCCCGCCCCGCCCCGCCCCGCCTTGCCTCGTGCACCCCCCACCTTCTGGCGCCGCCCCCACCCGCTTGCGGGGGCGGACGCGAGGACGGAGCAGAGGGGTTTGTTTACGATCTGCACCTCCCCGTCGGCGACCATTAGCAGAGACGAATGCAGGTGTTTTACGCCCCCTCATCAACCGCAGAAAAAGCACTTTTCAGTTTTCAAATGGATTTTTGGGGGGTTATTTTTATTATTTTCTTCTGGACGTCTTTCTCACTGTTATTCAAGGAATGTGACGTCACATTCGTTTTAATGTGAA